TAAATAACTACTCAAGTAAAGTACAGATACTCAAAAAATGTACTTAATTACAGTAATAAAGTAAAAGTACTTTGTTACTGTCCACCACTGCAAAAGACTAACTGTTATGTACCACTCTTTATATATGTTACTGTTATTTATATTTCTGTGGGATTTTTAAGATGTATCTTGAGTGAGTTGAGATCATCTATTAACATGGTAATTTTAAAAATTCTATTAAAAAAACTTGTTTGTACAGTTTGTTTTAGCCTCTTTCTATTTTACAGTATGGCCTGATTTTCTTCAAATAAAGAAATGCAATAGAAACTGAAGGCAATCTCAAACTTCTGTTAGTTTATATTGGAAGTTTAGATCAGTTTGGGCCTTTTTATTCTCAAGATTTTTTAGTAAACAGGTTCTTTAAACTTTCTAATTAAACTGGCACAATAATTGTATAAATTGTGTAAATAAATAATTATACTACTCATGTTGTAAATTAACAGCAACAATTTGGGATTATACTTGTACTACTTGGGTTTAACTCTAGAATTACTTTATTTAGATTACTTTCAAGGACATATGGGGTTATCAAAACACTTTAAACATTTCTAGACTAAAGTTGGATGTTTCTGCCCAGCGTTCCAATAATAATTATTCTGTTCATGTGGGAACAATAATTTCTGTTGCCTGTTTCAGGCAGCATCTCAACACACACTTTCCTCATACAATACTGTGCACATTTAATCTATTTGTTTCTGCATGTTGTTTTGCACGCCTCTTTCACCCAGTTTGTCTTTTTTTTCTCTGTTGCTTTTTCTTCATTTCCATCTAGTGGTGATGTGGCTTCAGCTTCTAATGATGTTATTAAGCCTCTTCACAGCTTTTGGCCACCACCTCTGCCCTGCTGCGCTCTCTCACACAGTCATCCCATCACCTAAGGAGATGGAAAAGCAGTGTGTCTTCTCAAACACCTGCAACACCAAGAACAGCCTTCTTTTTGCACTCTTTTTCAAACCTGTAAAAAATGTTATACTGAATTCTGATTTTAATGATGCTTTTGTCTGATTTTTTTTTAAAGCAGAAGCACAGAGTTCACTAATTAAAGTGAAAACAACAATCGGAATGTTGTTGTTTAGGTATATAAACAGTGGTGTATAATAAAAAATCAGCCATGTGCTTTTTGTCTGATGGCTGAGATACCTTTTCTAAATCACATTTATTCACCAAAATGACCAACACGAGCTGTTTTTGTCTYAACCATTAAAGCTGTTTCTATTCTCTTCAAATCTACCAGCTTCTGTTTTCATTTTAATCCACATAATTTTGTTTTTCTTTTTTTTCCTCCAGTAAAATCCAGTCTGGCAACAAGCTGGTGCTGACCATCACCACTAAAGCCTGTCAAGGGAAGGACAACTTCGTCCGCTACCTGGAGCACGTGCAGGCCGTCCTCACGGTCAACGCCAGCCGCCGCGGGGACCTCAACATCAACATGACCTCCCCCATGGGTACAAAGTCCATACTGTTGAGTCGAAGGCCCCGCGACGACGACGCCAAGGTCGGCTTCGACAAGTGGCCCTTCATGACCACCCACACCTGGGGGGAGGACCCCCGTGGAACCTGGGTCCTCGAGGTGGGCTTCCAGGGTGAGCAGCCACAACGGGGGGTTCTGAAGGAGTGGACTCTGATGCTGCACGGAACACAAAGTGCCCCTTACATAGACCAGATCGTGCGTGATTATCAGTCCAAACTCGCCATGTCCAAAAAGGAGGAGCTGGAGGAGGAGCTGGACGAAGCTGTCGAGAGAAGTCTGAAGAATTTATTAAGTAAAAACAACTAAAAGTTCAATTCCATGCATGTTGCCAGCTCCGTCACTTTCTCCTGTATTTTATCTTCTCCGCAGTCCTGCTCTGTTCTCCAAGCCTCCAAATCTCCTTAGTTCCTCTTGGTGTCCTTTTCCTTTTGTCTCCTTCTATTTACCTCTTCTTTCTGCTTTTAGGAAACAAAAGCTTCAGTTTTCTCTGTTCAATGAATGTTTATTGTACAATCTTGAGAAAACTTGTAACCCTCAAAAAAACCTGTTGGACATTTAATGTGAGATATATCAGCTGAATTTTTACACTACAGAACTGTACATAAACCAAAAATATAAGCCACATTTTTGTTTGCTTTGCTGCCCCGCACAATTTCTTCTGCCAAATGTTGTACACGTTGTGGTTGTAAATTATTTTTTCTGTCATTCTTCTTAAAATTGAACCTCTTGCAAACGGAACAGTGACACTTCTTTCCGTTTATACTTTTATTGTGAAATGAACTGTTTATATAAATAAGGACAGAAGTGTGTTATTTATTTTGAAGAGTGTGGTCATCAGTTCACATTTCATTTTCTTTAACATATATTCTATAATAAATCTATTCAGCTATTTATAAACGTTTACGAGTGATTTGAGACGCACCTCCCAGGATCCTCAGGAAATAGCTTGTTACATATATTTTAATTAAAAATRAAGAAAATCAATGGATAAAGTAAAATGGAAAAGATTGTGTAATAAATTATTCCCACTTTAAAGTTATGTTCTCTCCTATTATTTTATTGCAGAGAATACATTAGATTTACTCACTGGGGATTTAACGCCGCATTTTCGAGGCACAGTGGAACAAAAGCCAACATATTTCTGGTAATTTTATGTTTTTAAAAACTGTCTTGCAAAGATCGGAGCCAAATGTGACAAACTACTATTACCAGCAAGAAGTGGAAAAATAAGTTATACTTGAGTGAAAGTAACTGAAAGTGAAAGTATCTTACCACAAAATTACTTTGATAAAAGTAARGTCTCCTCTAAGAAAATTATTTGAGTTAAAAGTTAAAATAGTTGACATTTATTGTACTTAAGTATCAAAAGCAGTTTCTTATTTTAAATTCACTTTAGTATTAAAAATAAAGTACTGATTCAAAGTGAGCGGTTTGTACAAAATTACATTTATTGGGAGGTGACCGCCCCAGTGTATTCATTATTTTTTCTTATGGCCATAATGACTACACTATGTACATTATGGTACCTATTTCAGGTGCATGTCTGTGCAGCATTCATCTTAATGCTACAAACCAGACATGCAGTCTGTCCTGCTGGAGTGACATGATTTGTGTCATGTGCATGTGTGATGGATCATTCAAACCAATAAGATGTCAGAATAGTGTACATTTATTCTTCTTATCTAACCACAACTAAATTTATTATATCAGGGAGGCACAATTTATCTGGATTTTTTTTCTAACAATACCAAGCCAAAATGAAACAGGAGTTACAGCTTTTATTGCTTCTTACATTTGATTACATTTAAGGAGTAGAAAGTACAGATAATTTTGGGAAAATGTAAAGAATAGAAGTAAAATGTTGGCTGGTACCAGCTGAAAATTAATTGATAACCAGAATTAAAACATATTTTTCCGTTGTTAACTTACCTTACAACTTTGAGTAGGACTTGCATCCATGTCGCAGCAAAAAGACAAATCCTCTCTCAAACTGCTCCTGAACTAATTGTTGGATGTCCAGACTTTAACTCTCTTACTTACTGAAATCCCAATGAATCTAAATATATCAAGGCTTTATAAAGTCTACATTGCAAGCACAGAATGAGATGTTTAATTTTGACTATAGTCTGCTGACCAATCAGAGCAAAGGAGGAATTTCAGAAAAGAAGTTATTTCATGATAGTATAGATATCTTACAAACCTATTCCAGAAGAGTTGCAAAAAACACGAAAAAATACTACTAATAATAAAAATTCTGTATATATAACAGAAGAGTGTAATTTATCAGTCCCTTTTCTTTATTTTTTTCTTTTATTTTGTTTTGGTTTTCAAGTGCGCAAACATCATTTTCTGATCAATCAAAGACTTGATCAAAATTCTCCTGAAACCGAACAGAACACAACATTAGTTCATGTTTGAATCCTTTATTATTCCATGTATCAAAGCAAATAATACACAGCAAAACTGTGCTGAGGGTAAATAATGGCATCCAACTGAACAAATGAGCTCAGAGGGAAAGTAAAATAAAAAAAATGTTCCTAAAGAGTTTCTGCAAAGGGTGGCACAACTTCATTCATTCTTTCTAGTTTGGTTTTACTTGTGGCGTAGATATTTGCTTTCTTTTCTCTTCCCAAGTTTTCTGACAAAAAAAGGCCTCATCCCATGGGTGCATGCTGAACAACAGCAGCAGGAGGACTGATGGTGAAACACATCCTGGACTCATTAGCAGAAGCTGCAAGCAAATGGGAAAGATTTAACTATGAGAGCAGTAATGTGTTTGGTTTTAATTGGTCTCCCTAAGAGACAGAATCATTAGTGTTAATATGGTGGTTTGAAAATTAATTTTATTCAAGCAGAGACCAATATTGGCACCGTCTTTCTATTTGGACCTGGTGGTTTCAGTGTTTCTTCTTTGTCGACTTCTCAATCGTGGTCTCCACTACCATGGACATTTCTTCATAACYTTTGACTCGGCGACCGTTGGAAAACTTCTCCACAGACTCGACCATCTCCACTTTCTCGTAGCTCATGGTGTTGGGGGAGAAGCTGCTGGAGCTGGTGGTGCTGGTGCTGCTGGAGCTGGTACTGTCAGCACGAAGTGCAGGCTTTGGAGTAGGTCTGCTTGGGCCATTGTCGTTTTTCTTGGGCTTACTGCCAGGATGGRTGGGATCGTGGGAGCTTGGGCCAGGTGGGGGAGGATTAGGGCTTGGGTATTTGGGGTAAGGACGAGGGTCTCCATCGCTGCTTTTACCTTTTCCTTCACTATCTTTAGCTCTACCGCCCCTGTTGTCAAATTTTCCTTCTCCGCCACGAGAAGGAACGGTGGGGCTTAAAGGCCTGGGGTCCACCATGGGCAGTGGGGGGACAGGAGAGGGTGTGTTGCGTCCATAAGGGTCATAAGGAGACATCCTTCCATCTCGGATAGTGACAAAGATGCGGCCGGCTGAGGGTGTGGAGGTGTAGAAGCTAGGGTCCAGGTAGCTGCCATCACCGGTAACAAGAACGTATCGACCCCTGGTGTAGAAGTCCGCTATCGGCTCTGGCCTCTTGTACCTCCTCATTCTGTCTCTGACGATGCTGCAAAGTGTGTCAAAGGCTTTGCTGATCTGAGCTCCGTCTGGGACATCCTGTGAAGGCACTCCGGCGAGAAGCGGCGTCTGCTCTTTTCTTTTCACCCTCTCCTCATGCATTTCTTCAGACTGCGTCACCTTTATTTCATCCTCTCCACCCTTTCTGTCCTCCTGAACGCTGTCGATGACGTCTTTTGGGGTCAGCTCTTTCTTCTTCAGGACCTTTTTGGCAAGTATCTTCTGCCGAGGCTTGATGCTTGTGATGTCCTGGAAAGCCTGGGTGATGTCTGGATGGAGGAATAAGCAATGTAAATGTCTGAAAAGTCACAAATCAAAAACACAATCTACAACATTTACAGTGAATGTCAGCTGGCTGTCTTTTTATTTTATTTTATCAAAGACGTTACCTTTGTTAGCTGTTAACCACATATGTAAATCTCTTAAAGAGTATACAGTTGTCACAATTATAATGACAACTGACTGCAGTTACCAGCCATTTTAACAAACAGCTGTGATTTGGCTCTTACCTCTTCCTCTGCTTAATGGGCTGGTTGTGTGAGTGTAGCGGCAATTAGATGAAAACAGGGTAATGGGTGTGCCAATTATTGCAGAATTCAACCTGCAGGGGAGAAAAA